TATCTATCTATCTATCTATCTATCTATCTATCTATCTATCTATCTATCTATCTATCTATCTATCTATCTATCTATCTATCTATCTATCTGATTTAACAGCCTGGTTTCCTTGTTCTTAACCTTTGCAATTACCTTTTATTACACTTTTTGCAGACTCTGATGCTGATCTGCACAATAGTTCAGGGACATTTACCTTCTGTAATGAAAACTGAGCATATTTTACTGGGAAAGAAGAAAGGAAATATAACATTGCATTATTGCTTTATAGGATATTGCTGAATTTTATTTCCTTGCTGAAATTGAGGATTGACTAATGGTAAACTATAATGAATTGTAGTCACAGAGCCTGGAAGAACCTTGGCCAAACAGTACTTAGAAATTCTATAGGAAACATACCAGTGTTTTCTAGCTTTTGTACTTCCGCTCCAGGTAATAATGGGCAATTTGACAGTTTGGAAGTTACAGATTATAAAATGTTTGAATTATTTTGTGCCTAGAAAATGTTTTTTCCCTCTTAGTTTTCTTTAATAACCAGGATGCAAACCGTTTCTGTTAACATTTAAAGCCAGTTGCTCTTGAATTGTCTTATGGCAACTGTTCCACCAATTCAATTTTATTGGAACCTTTACTAGTAGAAGAATGAAGTCTGGTCAGTTTAATTGCTGTATATTTCTAGAGGTAATACCAACATTTTAGATTGTGCTAGATTTGTAACAACTCTTTCTATAAAAGAACTAGAGAAAACTCAAGTTCTTATCTCTATTGCCCAAGTTAATAGTAGCAAGGAAGGATTAGACTCCCACAGCCAATCTATTCTTTACTCATTTGCCTTTAAATCTGTAGTTCAAGATCAGGAAGCAATGCAGGCCATTGACTACTTAATTCACATTTTGTGACGTTATGTGAAACAGTACAGGGAACAATGGCTCTTAGCTTTGCTTTGCATCCAGTGCATATGTTATTATTTTTTTAAAAAAAATTAAAGCCATTTCCATTATCTGGTTCTAAAAATTCTGAGTTTATTTTCTGTAATGTGTGCATGAATAAAAAATAGCTGGTTTCTCTAATCTGTAGGATTTTTAAAAATTACACAATTTAGGTGAACAAACACACAGAAATAACCACGAGTACTATACTTTTATTTGCTAATAAATATCTTAGTAAACAGGCTTATTCCATTTGTAAGACTTGATAATGCCTCTTAGGAAATCATAGAAAAATAAAACACAATAATAATCAGTAACTTGTACTTTGTACAAATATCTTATTATGTTGCTCAGCATGTAGCTTTGCCAAACCCCATACTCTTTCTGCAAATAGATGGCATAGGAATGCAATTCACCTTAAAATGCCCTCGTTATGAGAGCTGAGCATTTTATTACATTGCTAACTTAATAGGCAAGCTAGCACATGAAAATTCACACAAAACATATCAAAGTAGATTTCACATGAGAATAATTCATCTCAAGTAAAGTTATTAATTTTTAATTAAAAAACGGGAATCAGGATGAAATTGGAATATATATATATATATATATATATANTATCTATCTATCTACACACACACATACATTTTTTCTTGAAATTAAATATCGCAATGTATTAAACATCCCATGTTTCCACAAATATCTCTAGTGATATATATCAGCTTTTCAACAATATAAAATGAATTGGTAATAAACTAAAAATGTCTACTTACATTATATGGTTTTAACTTGTTGATAATTGTTGTTTTACCACTGTTGTCTAATCCAAGGCATAGAACATGAACTTCTTTCTTTTTCAGACCAAGCCAACATGCCAATTTATCAAATAATCCCATAATTTGGATTGAATGGCACAGACAATTTGTGTATTTCTAAAGGTTGGAGATAGATAGATTTAAAAATTGAAATTATTATAGATGAACATGGAGCAAAGGTTCCAAGACAATTAAATCAGGAGCCCCCTGGAGAAGAAATAGTTGCAAATTATGTCACAGAAGGTTGGTTAGCCTAAGGAACAAGTAGATAAGCTGCTTATTTGGAAAGTCTTCTGGTCAAAACAGGCTAGGTACTTATCTTCCTGTTAAAGCACAATGTCAATGGATAAATGTGGTTTTATAATTAATAAAGCATCGTGCAATGAGGCTGTTTTTATTTGTAAAAAATTAGAAGTAGATCCATATTTCTCATTTTATAGTTTAACCAAAATCAGAACCTTCTGTACAGTGCACTATTAAAAATATTCAAGAATCAAGATGGGAACCCAGTAATTATACCCACAAATAAGAGTTTCATGCCTTATTTTAAAGGATTTGAGATCCACTTTATAACATTATCAGTAATTTAGCTTTATAAAACCTTTTCATCTTTCAATATAGTGGGACTACAGGGGTCTTTGGGTGCAACCAGATAATATTTTCAGTTAGATGTGGCAAACATGGAAAAAATCACATTTATAACACTACCCAAAGAAAATACACTTAGTCTGCTGCTTCTGAGTAGGCAAACAGATTTCCAAATAAAACATTAAGCTGAAACCAATGAGATTTTCTCTCCCTCTCTCAGCGTTCCTCTAAAAAGGTCTAGTCGCATCACTGGAAAGGTAGATTGTACCTGAATTTAGTCTCTGTGCTGACTTGCCATTTCTGCTTTTAAATGAAATCTACAACTAATCAGGCAAGTCAGGCATTTTAAGAATGTAGCATCTTTCCCCCGAGCTGTCAATAAACTTGCTGCATTTCTGGTTCCCCCCAGATATCAGAATTGTTTTAAGGGCAATCAAGAGCACTATTTCCCACGCGGGTGTTTTTCGAATATATGGACCCCAAACCCAGAATCCCTTCCTAGCATGGCCTGAGAACGAGGCGCCTTTAAATCCTACGCATCCAGGGAGCCGCTTTAAAGAACGGCATGGTTCACTAGGTGAAACCCGGATTTAAAACCTTGGCTCTGCCGTGAAGTTGGAGTCGATCCCGTTCTTTCGTATGGATAACCTAATCCTCTCTCAGGATTCGTCCCAATAAAGGAGGGGTGGGGTGAGGGAGGCTGTGGAAAACCAGATGACCTAATCTTGCAGAGAAAAGCACACATAACTTTAAATTAAAAGTACAAGAGAAGCACTCAAGCTCTCCCTCCCCCCCACCCCTTTTTAAAGGAGCAGGAATCCGCGCCTCCACTATACTCACCAAAGCAAACGCGACCAACAGCAGCTGTCCGTCGGGCCTTGAAAGAGCAAGAAACCCCCCCTTCTCTCCCCCCCCACTACCCCGACGCCTACGTCGTTACCTCGGAAACAGAACCGTTCTCTAAGCCACGCCCTCCTCGAGGCGGAGCATCATTTTCAGCCCAGGGTTGGCGGTGAATTTTGGATGGTTCTTTGCGGGGTGAAGAGTCGCCATTGCCTGAATAGAAAAGCGGGGGCGATCCGCCATGGAAGTCCTCGCCTTCCGCTCTAAATCTTTCCGTGACAGGAGGAGTACAGAAGTATCAAGAGACGGAGGCAGGGTTTGAATATAATGGTGACGAAGAAGTGCTGTGGGGAAGGACGAGTAATCCCGATAAATCTGCTCTCCGCCCTCCACATTTGGCGTTCGGTCAATGTCTTCTTTAAATGAAACGTTTAAAAGCTCAGTAATATGTCTGCCTAGGAGCGAGGTGAGGGTTGGATTTTTAATGGGGTGAGCGTGTGTGTCAGAGGTGTGGTTTGGAAAGACGGCTGCCTGCCTGTTAATACGTACAACACAAATTAACCTCATCCATCCTATTAACGCCCAAGTATTATCCTAGCAAATTATATTGCGCGCCTACTTACAGCCTTCCCCTTTCCTGCTGTATGTTAAGAGTTGTCAATTGTGTTGCCGGCTGGCTGAGTTAAAATGTTTTAAGGCAACAAAAATCCTCATCCGAACTTAAATAAGCGTTTATTTTATAACCCTGTTCTGATTAGGTGTGCATAGGGATCCTGCTCCAAATCATTCCTGAATGGTTCTATTAATCTTTGAGTATGATCCCCCCCCTCTATCTATCTATCTATCTATCTATCTATCTATCTATCTATCTATCTATCTATCTATCTATCTATCTATCTATCTATCTATCTATC